TTCCTTCCTTCCTTCCTTCCTTCCTTCCTTCCTTCCTTCCTTCCTTCCTTCCTTCCTTCCTCTTCTGTCAGAGGAGCCCTAAGAGGCCAAACTGGGTGGTCCCAGGGTCTGAGTTCTGGGAAAGGAGAAGCAGCCAGGGAGGAGTCGTCCCCCCACCCCCACCCCTTTCCTGCAGGGCAGGAGAAAACTCAGCTCACTGAGAGAAAAGTAAGGTCCTCAAGCTGAATTCCCTGTATTTCCCCACCCCCACCCCAATCAAGATCTGGTCTCTATCAGCTTCCCCCTCCCATGCTCCCCCCTCCCACCATCACACCCCTCAGATCCATCAGGGTCTGATTGTTCTCCAGGCCTCCCCAGTCCAAAGCTCTTGATGGATTTGGTAATTGGGGTAATTACGGTAATTTTACCTTAAAGACAGGCAGCTGCAGATTCCCTATGGGGAGCCCCACCCCCCATCCCAGGCCTCCTGCCAGCCAGTGTTCAGGGACAATGACTAGTGGGCTCCCACTCCCCTCCCCCAGAATGCAAAGAGGTTGGGGTATGGGGGTGGGGGTGGGGGTGTTCCGAGAGAAGGCATCTCCTGGCCTCTCTTAGAGAGGGTGTGGGGCAGCAGGATGGCTTTGACAGGAACCAATTTCCTTTTCACCACCCAGCCTTGGTTCCAGGGACTTGCAAGGCATCAGCAGTGACCTTCATCCCTTCCCTATTGGGCCCCCAAATCAAGACACGAGACCCCCAAGTATGTCATTGAAGTCCTCACAGAGGTACTAAAAGCCTAACTGTGCATATCCTGTGACCTTCGCGTGTGAGGGTCAGGCAGCGATGCTGAGCAGGGGCAGAGCACGACAGGGAGGCCTTGCAGCAACCTCCCACCCCCGCCAGTCCCCCAAAGCCAGAGCCTGTGCTGCCCCCAGTGGCAGCCTGAGGAATATTCGCCGCTGCCCAGAAACCAAAGAGCAAAGCGCTGGGGAGGTGGAAATTCCCTTCTGATTCGGAGGCTGCAAGACTTCTCAAGAGATGCGGGCTTCTTGAAATAATTGAAAGATTGAATTGTGTGATATATTCTAATAAAGCTATTAAAAAAAAGAGTTGTGGGCTTTCAGCATGACCTCCCGAGATGTTTAAGACCCCTCAGAGCACCTTGGTATGAGGGCCCCGCGGCAGGGACATATGGGGGACTGCCCATTGACCATACCCATTGTCGTCTAGAGAATGCCACTAGGGCGATCCCCAGTGTGTGCCAGAGGAGACCTGTGCTCAAGAGGACTTTTAAAGGCTGGTTTGGGGGAATTGATCGCCAGGCCTTTCTTCTGGGTGGGCTTCTGGGTGGGCTTGAACCCCCAACCTTTCATATGCACAACTCAGGGGCTACCCTGCTCATAAACATGCTGCTGGTGTCTCCTTCCATCCCACTGTCCCCCTCTGGGGTCACCTCCCAAATCATCAACCTGCCCTCTAATTCTTGGCTCAGGATCTGCTTCTGAGGCCCCCCAACTTGAAGACCCTAAGTTCCCCATGCACCCCCCCCCCAATTCTCCATGCTCCCTGTGCTGTTCCACTGTTTGGCAGAACCGCATCAATGTCGAAAACCACACTGTGTCTAAGCCAGGGGGTGTCTCCCTCCAGCTCTGAGTTCCCAGAGGGCTGGGAGGTTCCCTGCCTCGCTCTCTGCTCTGAGCCTGGCCCAGCCTGGGGTTCCGCCTGGGCTGCTGGCCCAGCCATTCTGACTCCTGGGGGCCCCACATGTGCAGAACAGAATTACTCTAGAGAGTTCTCAAGGCTGTGTGACCTCTTTCAGAAGCAGGGTGCCAGGCCCGTGTCCTGAGGCGCCTCTGGGTGGGTTCAAACCACCTGCCTTCAGGCTTCTATTGAGCCGTTAGCTGTCTGCACCATCCGGGACTGCTCATCAGACATGTACTTGTTGTTTGGAGCCAGAGACCCTGGAGGGCAGAGTAGAACAGCCCCATAGAGTTTCCAAGGCTATGTCTTTATGAAGAGCCCGGTGGCATTGTGGTTCCTTGTTGGGTTGCCAACTACAAGGTTGGCAGTTTGAGACCACCAGCCACTCCTCAGAAGGAACGATAGGGCTTTCTATTCCCATCAAGAGTGAGAGTCTCAGAAACTCACAGGAGCAGTGCTACCCTGACCTACAGAGTCACTGTGAGTCGGGATTGACTTGATGGGAGCATCTTGCAAAGTCTTTTTTCCTGCAGAGCCACTGGTGGGTTTAAACCACTTACCTTTTGGTTAGCAACTGAGTACTTAACCATTGTGCTAACAGGGTTCCCCGACACAGCTCCAAACTCACTGACATTGAGTCTGACTCATAGCAATCCTGCAGGACAGAGTAGAAGGGCCCTTGTCGGTTTCCTAGACTTTAAATCTTTATGGGAGTAATAGCCTCATTTTTCCCCCAAGGAGCGACTGGTGGATTAGAATCATTGACCTTGTGTTTAGCAACTCAGTGCATAGCCCACCATACCACTGGGGCTCCTTCCTTGACACAGACTCTCAATGTAATTTCTGAATGACTGGAGACACCTGCATCTCATCCCCACCATTCCCTTTGATGATTTACAACGAGTAAGTCAAATCCTCAGGTGCACAGAGAGGTGGGGTGAGTTACTGCAGCACACAGCAGTGGACAGGAACTCAGGGCCTGCCCCACCCCCCAGCTCAGCATGGCTGCCACTCCCAGCTGCCTCACCCCCAGAACTACCCACTTGAATGCCAGATGAGACCTCCTCTTGCTCAGGGGGTCACTTCCACCCTTTGCCCCAGGAAACACTCCCACTTCCCATTCTTCCCTTCCAAACTGCAGGTTTGTGTGTGTGTGTGGGGGGGGGGGCGGCTCTTTAAAGAAACAAGGTCCCAGCCCCAGCCAGTGGCAGACTGCAGAGAGCTGGGCACCTACTGTGAGCTATGCTAGCCCTGCATGGGGCAAGGGCAGGTTCATCAATCATAAGCAGGCCGCTGGGAGGAAAGAGCTCTGAAGATGAATGGGGAAACTGACAGGTGATTAAGTCCGGATGCTTCTCACTCCCACTATGCCTGCAGCCAGCTCTCACTAGGACCTGCCCCTCCTCTCCCGAGGCCAAAGAAGCTTCTCTCCAGGAGTGAAGAGGGGAGCAGTGGGACCCTCAAAGGTGCTGGGGACCGCGGGAGACAAGCACACTGGTCACCATTGAAGCTCGCCTCATTCTCGGTACTAATGTGTGACGGTCACCAGTGATCTGGCTGGACACCGGCTGCCCAGTGTTTCAGGGGCACAGTCTCAGGGCCACACAGCCAACCAGGGACTCCAAACTCCAAACTCACTGCACGGAGTCGATAACTCATAGCGACCCTTGCCGACGGGGCAGAACCGCCCCTGTGCGTTTCAGAGACTTACTCCATATGGGAGTAGACACTCCCCTTTTCTCCCACGGAGAAGCTGGTGGTTTCACACTGCTGACCTTGCAGATGACAACCCAACACAAAACCCACTACACCACCAGGGCTCCTAGCCAGGGACACCGAGGCAATCAACAAG